GGAGAGGGGAGAGATGCTCGTAGGGGAAGTGAAAGTAGAACATGGGTGGTAGGGGACAGGGGGTTCGGAATTGAGGGGAGTAGGTGGGGGTTAGGGAGTAGGGGGCGGCGGAGGTGTAGTAGGCAGGGGTTTTGTGGAAGAGGGGTCGGGTGGATAGGTAGAGCGTGGAGGATAGGGGATAGGGGCGGCCAGTGAGATATTTTCTTACAAATTCTGTAGGGGAGGGGGATGGAGGTGTAAGATAACTCATGATAGAAATAAAAAATTAAAAATTTATTGCTTATCGCAATGTTGAAAGTTGATGCTATTATATGAAAAATTAGAGATGATTGATTGCTTGTTAAATGTCGATGTGGAGAAATAAATCATTACACTTATGATTTATTCATTGTTCAATTGATTTTTGGAAATAGAGGGGAATAAATTTTTCGTTTTCATCAACAATCCTTTTTTCGATGGCATTTTTTTGGAAATAGGTGCGACGGAATATTCAGAGCTTATTGTATTTATTATATATTCACTTTGCATAATTAAGCGTGTGCTTGTTATTGAAATAATGACGTTGTTTTCATTCAAGTGTCCGGTGAAAATTTGAGGGTATGCTTCGAGGCTTTGGATACATTCGATATTTTGACTGAGAAAAGGGAAATAATTAGGGGAATAAAAAAATCTGGGGATTGTTAAACGAAATTATTTGATAGACGGATGATTCTGCTTGATAATATCTTCGAGGGAAAATTGTGGGAATGAAGGAGATCTCAAATGAAAGTAGAAACATTGTTTAGTGATAAAGAATGTCTTTTTTTCTGTTCAATAAACATTTGATGGAACTCTTCTTTTTCGTTTTGAAACTGACTTTTTGAGCGAAAAAATTATCACGGGCTTGGATAAAACTGCGATTCACACGAATTCTAATTTTTTTTTTCGGCGATGAATAGATAGAATTTTGTTAATCGAGGAAATTAACATTTTCTAATGCAAAAATTGTAATTTTGTAACTTTCTCTTTTTATTTGTGGAAAAATTTTCCGTGCAATGACGCACATTAAAAAATGTTACACACATGTAATTAAATTGTAGAAATGAATTTAGAGATTTAAAAAAATAATAAAATATTTTTCCCATGAAAAAAAGGAGTTTTTTTTCACCTTTGAAGATTCAAAACAATATTTTTTCCATTTTTATAAACATCTCTTTTTACATCTTGTTTTTCAATTTCAATTTTTACTTTTTTATTTGTAAAAAAATATTTTCTTCATCGACCTGAAAATCAAGTGAAAATAAAATAAAATTTAAAAAATTCTATTTTTCATTCGTACGAACGTCTCTTTTATCGCTTAAATATTTAGGATTTGTTTTTCATAGATTGGAAAGATTTTTCATCTTTTTTTAAATTTAATTTCATTATTTTATTTTATTTTTAATATCTTCCTTACCGACGTAAAAACCTTTAGCTTTTGACAGCTCCCAAAACACTCTCCACGTGTTTCCTTATATTTTCGCCCCAAGAATGGTGTTTTACTTCGAAAGTGACGGTAATTATTCCAATTATCAATAACAATCAAATCTTAATCAACGTAATAAATCAATTTAGTTCACACAAACGATTCAATTTCAATTTGAATGTGGTTTAGGTTAGGTTCAACAGAATTGTTGATTACGAATGTTTATTTTTTTTCAGTTGTGCAACCACCGGTTACACTGTTCATGGGAATTGACAAACATGAGAGTGAGTTTTTGCATGAATAATTATTAAACAATTGAGTTGATTTTATTTTATTTGTTTAGAAAGTTGTTGAGGATGTCGCCGACATTGAATTCCCCATCAGGCCTTATTTTTTTAAATGATTTATAATCGACACAATGCGATGATGTTTTTTAATCGAGAACTTTTGGATTTAGATGAGGATTTGATCAAATGGGGATGGCCTGAGGACGTCTGGTTTCACGTGGACAAGTTCTCATCGGCTCATGTTTATTTACGACTTCGTCCAGTGAGTTATGAATTAGAATGGATGGATAAGCAGGAATACCTTGAATAATTGAGAATTCACAAATTCGTGATTTAACGGGAGAAACTGCATGAATTCGTGATTTAATCTGAATGTCTGTGAATTCATTAAAAATTCACGAATTCGTGAATAATAAATTCCTGACTCATTAAAAAATTCCTGGATCACTTGAAACGTCACGAATTTCTTCAATTGAGAAAAATGTACGAACTCGTGATTCATTTAAGAAATTCACGAATTCCTAACTGTTTAAAGAATCTACATTCGTAAATTCTACAATAAATCACGAATTCGTGAATTAATCAGATAAGAAATGGAAAGACTTCGTGAACTAAAAAAATGCACGAGTTTAAAAATGATCAATTACTGAAAATAATTTTTGCATCTTTTCAGGGTCAGACAATCGATGACATTCCAGGATCAGTCCTGGAGGATGCTGCCCAGCTGGTAAAAGCCAACAGTATCGAAGGGAATAAAGTGAACGACGTCGACGTCGTCTATACCATGTGGGCGAACTTGAAGAAGACCCAGGGAATGGAAGTGGGACAGGTTGGCTTTCACAAGGAGAAAGATGTTCGGAAAATTCACGTATTCAAACGACTAAACACAACAGTCAATCGTTTGAACAAGACCAAACGATCTGCCGAGCCCAATTTCAGATTCGAGAGAGAGGACAGGGACCGAAGGGAAAGGGAGGACAAGAAAAAATTGCTGAGAATTCAGAAGGAGCAGGAGAAGACGGAGATGAAGAAACGAGAGGAGGAGGCAGAAATCAAGTAAATAACATTGAATTCAGCAAAAATCTATTGTTTCAAATTGATTTGAATAATGAATTCAAACCGTTTTTAATCATTTTATAATAATCCAGTGTGGAAGGACTGAGATTTGATGAAAAAAAATCGTGAATCAACTAGAAAATTCAATAATTCTTGCGTTTTAGTACATTTTCTAGTCGAGTCACGAATTCCCGAATTCTCCCATTAAATCATAAATTCATGAATTTTCCAATTGAATTATAAATTGGTGCATTTTCAGTGAATTTTCTAGTTAACTCACGAATTCTCCAATTAAATCACGAATTCATGAATGTTTCGATTGAATCATGAATTCGTGCATTTTCAGTGAATTTTCGAGTTGAGCCACGAAATTATGATTCAATTGGCAAATTCATGAACTCGTGAATTCCAGTGAATTTTCTAGTTGAGTCACGAATTCCCGAATTCTCCAATTAAATCGCGAATTCATGAATTTTCCAATGGAATCATGAATTCGTGAATTTTGAGTGAATTTTAGTTGAGTCACGAATTCCGGAATTCCCGAATTCTCTAATTGAAATATAATTTTCAGGAATTATTCTTCTCTATTCCAAGAGAGTAAAATGACAACGAACACAGAGGCATCAGGCTACGATTCAGACGACTTCATGTGATGTCCTGTGGTGAATAAATCCCCAAGAAATATATATTATCAATTTTTTGATTGATCCCTTCATGAACCAACCGTTAAATATTAAAAATAAAGTGGACAGATGTAGGAATAATTTTTTTGGTTGAAAAAAAATTCTGCACTGTATCACGATAATTCAACGTTGACTGCTCCGAGAGCCTCGACAATCCACTCGGGGTAATTTCTCTCAGGATAGACTGTCAACATGAATTCTCTGATGAATTCGGGAAATTTTTGGTTCTTAATACTGTCTCGGATGTCCTTCATGAGCCTCATCTGGAATGCAATATTGTGGACGGTTAATGCGTGACAGGCGACGGTCTCCATCGTCACCAGGTGATGGAGATAGGCTCGGGTGTATGTTTTACAGGTACTGCAGTCGCAATTTTCGTCGATGGGACGTTTATCGTGTTTGTACATCCTCTGGCGGAGGGGGAGTTGTCCAGATCTTGTTAATGCACAGCCAAATCTCTAGGAAAACAATTAAGAGAACCTTTTATTCTGGATTTGGACATGATTCGATAAAAACATATTACGCAATAAAAAAATTAAAAGAAAAATTATGAAATATCGCTATTTGTGTATTTTAACGGCCCTTTTGTTTTTGTGAAAAATTAAAAACTAAAATTTTCGAGTAATTGCAGATTGAAAAAAAATTTGATTTTCCCATGATGGCTCTAACAATGGAATAAATTGAGTTTAATTGCGCTCGTTTTGAAGCTTATTTAATTACTTTCAAATGTGTGAAAGCGAAAATTCAATTGCTAATGATTAAATTCAATCATTTCACATTTTTTTGAAACAATCAAAATTCAAGTGGAAGAAGTGAAATTTCTTGAAAAATCATAACTCGCTGAAAAAAAAATCGAATCGCTCTAAAAATTTTATGACAGCTTTGTCTCATGTACGCCTTCTCAGAAAAAAATCACCAAGACAATCGAAAACACGAAACTGTTTTCATTTCGGGCCACCAAAATTTATGACCACTGCGACGACATTTTATATAGTGTTCCTAGTACCTTATAATATAATGTTTATATTAAATTATTTTCTCTCGTATACCCTTTCGGGTTTTTACGATTTGTTTCCTTCCCACCCCCCAACCCCCTGTACCGCATTCGCCGAAGGACGAGGGAAAACCTGCCGAGGTGAGTCGTCCCTTTAACGAGACTCCCGCTCGACAGTGAAACTGTGAGATTAGAGTGTTACAAATTTTGGCTACCCAGCCGGGTATCGAACCCAGGTCGCTCATGTGCCAATCCCATACTCTAACCACACAGCCACCGCCGTCGGTCTATAAAATTTATATGGATTTGATGGGGTCTCGGTATAGCACACTAATATGGAAATATCCCCATTGCCTGAAGACTCACAGCTGTTCTAGACGGAAACACACAGTCGTACATATCGATCCCCAGGGCAGAGCATACGACCAGATCCACTGCAAATCCCACTCCCATCAGGTACCTGGGTTTGTCTCGGGGTAAAATGTCTGTTGACAGATGCACCATCTTCCAGAAGTCCTGCTTGCTCTCCCCACCACTGAGTCCACCCACCGCGAATCCATTGACCTCCCTCTTCGATTGCTTGATAGCACTCTGGGTTCGGAGAATGGGGCTCAGGGCACCTTGGACTATTGGGAAAACACTCTGCTCTGTGGGACGCTGGTGAGCTGCCAGACAACGATCCAACCATCTCGTGGTTCTTCAAGGAAAATACGATTTTGAAAAATAAATGGGCCTCTCAAGTAAATGAATATTTGGCAAAAGACAAAAATTCCCAGTGAAGAGACTGTTTTGTAGAATTTACTAGAAATTCACGAATTTCTAGATTTATGAAAAAATTACGAATTCGTGGTTCAATTCACCAATTCATGAATCCGTGAATCAATTAATAAATTCAAGAATTCCTGCATTTTTTGGGAATTCCCCAGTTGAGCTACCAATTGGTGAATTCTATAATTGAGCATGAATTCATAAGTTTCTCTGTTGAATCAGGAATTCGTGATTTTTTTTACAGAGTCACCAATTCATGTTCCAACTAGTAAATTCACAAAAATCTACAAATTTATGGCTTAATTGACAAATTCATGAATTCGTGAATCAATTAGAAAATTCAAGAATTCCTGAATTTTTTGGGAATTCGCTAGTTGAGTCACGAATTCATAAATTTCTCTGTTGAATCACAAATTTGTGAATCTTTTTCACTGAGTCAGGAAATCATGATCCAACTAGTAAATTCACTAAAATGCACGAATTCTTGACTGAATTAAAAAATTTACATAAAAAGAAAAATAAGTTTGTTGGGGTTTACCGATGCATTGCCTCTTCAACTCTCGGTCCAGTGGTGGTACTGGCAACCACGTCATCAAGCTGCATGATTATATCAGCTCCAATGGCGTTCTGGATTTCGATGGAGTGCTCAGGGGTCAGCATGCACTCGGATCCGTCGTAAGGAGAACTAAACTTCACTCCTTCCTCGGTTATTTCAGCTAGTTTCAGGAGGGACACCATTTGGAAGCCACCGGAGTCTGTTAAAAGGGCCCTCTTCCAGTTCATGAATTTGTGGAGACCTCCAGCTTTTTTCAAAATGTCTGGCCCCTGCATTGATGGAAGATATTGAGGAAATAAATGTAAAGAAAGTAATAAATTCGTGAATCACTTATAAATTTCACGAATTTGGCAATTTTTTAATGATGAATTCACAAATTCGTGACTCTGTAAAATAATCAAGAATTTGTGATTCAATTTTAAAAAATCAGAATTTTCTGAAGAATTGAAATTGAAAAATTCACGAATTCATGACCCAATCTGAAAATTAACAAATTCGGGACTCTATAAAATAATCAGGAATTCGTAATTCAATTTGCAAAAATCAGGAGGTTCTGAAAAACAGAAATTGAATAATTCACAAATTCGTGATTCAATGAAAGAAAAATACAATTCCCAGAATAACAAATTCCTAATAAAAAGAGCTCACTGGACGTGTTCCCAAGTGATAAGTATTACTCAGCATGATCTGGCAGTTTAGCTCCTCCAATTGTTGCGGGAGTAATCCCTTCAAGGTGCCCTAAAAAAAAGCAAAAAAATTAAACAAAAAGAGTCAATATTTCATGTGAGACACGTGGTCATCACTGGCCTACCCCAACATCAGATGACAATTATTCTTTTTGAAAAATTCACAGAGAAGAAAAGGTGAAGACCTTCATTTTTTAAAGTGAACGAAATTGAACATCAATTGAAAAAATCAATTTTCGAGGAAAATTTTTCGGAATTGTTCGCTAGAAAATTGTTTAGATCCGGGGTAAAATAGGTCAGGCATGGTGGAATTCACCTGAGTGCCGACAGGCATGAAGACAGGAGTGTCAACGTGATGATGCATCAAGACCATTCTCCCAGTCCTGGCTTTGGTTGTTTTGCACTCAGTTATCACCTCGAAGGTGAGGGGTTTCAACACCCCTGACATTTTTGTTGTCTTGCGGGTGACCCGGGTGAATGCCTGTGCCATGTCGACGACAGCTGATTGGCAGACATTAGAATATGGCGGGAGTTCGGTAGGAAATGAAGGATGATTTTAAGTTTTCGAGGTTCTTGAGGGATATCTCGGAATCTAGGGGAGATAGAGGAATTTTTATAAAAAAGCTTTTTGTAGGGGAAATGAAGAGCTACATAAAAGGTCTTGAGGAATATTTTGATATCCCGCAAGGGTTATGAGATATGTCCAAAAAACTGGAAAGAGGCAACGAGAGGTAATGTCTGTGAGTTTTTTGGGGGATATCTTGGAATTTAGAGGTAGCGGAGTGTCATTGGAGCCGTCGAGAGCTGTGAAAATATTCCCGATGAAAATTCTGAACCCTCATCCATCCCTTTCTTGGTTATCAAGAGGGTCAAGAAAGGGGTATCCCCTTCAAAACTACTGTTTCCAAATTCTTGGAAAATATCTCGCATAAATACCAATTCAAATGTAACCTCCCCCCCAACCCTGCCATCTGCCCCCTGATTGGCCGAGAATTCCGTCCATTTTTTTTTTCGACCCTAGCGCCACCTGAGGACAATTTCTTTCTGTCTCCGTCGACACGTAAACATGGCTCCGGTGAGTTTTTTCTCCGTTAAAAATGTTAAAAATCGGTGGATTCTTGTCAATATGAATAAAAAATATTGTTTAAATAACAATGAGTGATGTTTGTGAAATGTCATGGAATTGTTTTCGTGAAATATTGCTTGTGGATGGGTCGGATTACTGTGGATTACTTTTTTGGGGGTTAGAGCGACGAATTTCGATGCCTAGACTCACATGGTGAAAATGATGTTTTTTTTTGGAATTTTGCAGCAAGTCGCCGCCAAGAAGCCAGCCAAGGCTATTGTGCCCAAGAAGCAACACCTCAGGGGCAAGAGCCAGAAGAAGAAGGTGTCCCTCAAGTTCACCATCGACTGCACACATCCAGTCGAGGACAATATCATGGATGTTGCTAATTTCGTGAGTATTTTTGTTGATCGAGAATCGTTCCTATATCTTGGTAGGGAATAACTTTAGAGAAAAATGTCACAAGAGATTTTCTATGGTAAATTAAATGCTCTACAAAAAACATCTTGTGACTTTTTCTCCTAACTCCAATGGTTCCTGAGATATTTTCAAAAAACTGCGTGAAATTATTTAGTTTGCTTTTTTAAATCTTCTGAATTTTGCAGTTAATCCATGTTTAATTACAATTTAATTACCTCTGGAATAATTTTCACAGGAAAAGTACCTCCAGGAGAGGATAAAGGTCAATGGTAAGACTGGCAATTTTGGGAACAACGTCAACCTGGAGCGCAACAAGAATAAGCTTTCAGTCAATAGTGACGTAGACTTCTCCAAGCGGTGGGTGTCGATCCTCCTCATTACGTAATTAAACTCCCTCTCCTGACCCCTCACAAATCCCTACAAAGATTCCTCAACTAAAAAATAATTATTAAAAAAAATTATCTAAATGCAGAAACAGAATACATCAACCAAACTTGACACTTGGTTTTTTGCGAATACTTCCGAATCTAAGGGAGATAGCAAAATCCTTCCAAGGACATTTTTTTGTAGGGAACTTCAAGCTACAAAAAAGGTTTTCACCAAAATCCCGTTAGGTCTCAGGGATTCTGAGATATTCCTAAAAAACTGATCTCAGGTGAAATTGATCTATCCTGTTTCACTCCTGATGACATTGAATCAATTAGAAGATCGATATTTGCACTAATCTGGAGGAACTTATTTGTGCAGATACCTCAAGTACCTCACGAAAAAGTACTTGAAGAAGAACAAGCTTCGTGACTGGCTCCGTGTTGTCTCGAAGGACAAGGACACGTATGAGCTACGTTACTTCCAGATCACGAGCCAGGAGGACGACGACGAAGACGACGCAGAGTAAATTATCCTCTAACTCTCTCATTCAACAGCTGTCATCCGGCATTTATTGTATATTTTTGGGTATAATAAATGTTGAAAATTGATTAATAATTGTGTCTCGTGATTAATTATCAAATTATTTTATTTATCCATTCTTTTTTTTTTAGAAAGTTGATTCCACAATTTCTAGTTGTCAAGGATGTTTATCTATTTTCTGATGGGGGGGAACTTTGAAACCAATATTTTTTATAGTTAAGAGCACTGCTCTCTATTCTAGTATTAGTATAGAGATCAGCGGTTAAGAGGCCTCGGAAGTAAAAGTACACTACTGAAATGCGAGAAAATCTTGCGCCTTAAATTCTCAGTCGAAAGGGGTTGAAGAAACGTGAAGGAGAGCTTGAAGAATTTGTTCATTCTCCAGGAACTCGATGAAACGAGTCGAAGGTGATCCGAAGCAGGTAAATAATTTTAAGAAATGTTTAAAAATACGAGGTGGAGGCACCGCCATCTTGCTTGGTTACCCCCTCCCTCTGCCGCAAGGGACTTCAAACATGGCGAGTCTCCACCTGGTATTTTCAAACATTTTTTAGAATTATTTAGCCTCTTCAGATCGCTCTCGATTCACTGCATCTGGTTTCTATAAAATGAACAAATTTTTTAAGCCATTTTTCAGATTTTTCCATTCCCTTTTCATTCAGAATTAATTCCACGAAGTTTTCCCCGCATTTCAGTAATTTTTTTTCACTCTCGACTCACTCTGATTGATTTTCATTAATTATCTGAATAAGTAATCGTTGATAATGCGCCAAATTTATTCAGAAAATGATTTTTTACCTCACATGAGTGAATTACTAATTTTTCAAAATCAATAAAGAATGAAAATTTCGTTGTTTCGATGAAAAAAAATTGAACCTTTGTGTTGAAGTCACGTTATTGCGACATTCAACATCACGTGCACTCCCCCCACCCTCCGAGACGTCAAAATTTATTTTCCCATGCTTCAAAACCCCGCGAAAACATTCATTTGAATTTCAATCCCCAAAAAACTGAAAAAGCCCCGGAAATTTTAATTTTATGGTCTCAAAAAAAAGAGAAAATTATTTGTCTTAAACTGATGGAGAAAGCAGCAAATTGATTCGCAGAACGATTTCTCACATGAAAAGAAGGAATTAACAAATTTTTCAAAGTCAATGAAAAGTGAAACTTTCATTTTTCACTGAAAAAAAAGAACTTTTGTGTTGAAGTCGCTCATTGCGACATCACGTGCACTCCCTCCACCCCCCGAGACGTCAAAATAATTAATTCTTCAAGTGCCCGAAGAGCCCGCGAAAATCCCCTCATTTGAATTTTAATTCCCAAAAAACTGAAGAAACCCCAGAAATTTCGATTTTTCGCTGTCAAAAAACAGAAAAAAATTATTATCTTCAATTGATCAAGACAATAAACCTTTTCATTCTGAGAGTCACTAGATATGCGGACACTTTTTTTCCATGTTAATTCCCCTAGGATTTGGGGACACTTTATCGAATTTACATATAAATCATGGTTTTTGAACACTCAAGTCTATATCATTGTAAAGTTCAATATTTATCAGAATTTTCCATGGTTTTTTCTGAGATTTTTTCGTTGAATGAACGAAATAAATATTTCCCCTAGATTTCCAGAATGAAAAGGTCTATACAGGGACTATTTGCCGATGCGTAGCAGACACCTGCGCATGCGCAGGGCGATGTTATGACAGATGCAGATGTCCGCTAAAGTTTTTCAGTCGTCGAGTGAACGCACCAACAAAACCAAAACCCAAAACGCATTATTAACCGTGAAAAATCGTCCCGAGAGGTCCACCTGAACTCTTGAAAAACCGCCAACAACAGTAAAAAACAGGTGAATCCGCGACTTTTCCTCGTTTTAACGTGCGAAATATGAAGTTCCAGTACAAGGAGGAGCATCCCTTCGAGAAACGAAAGGCCGAGGGCGAGAAAATTCGACGAAAATACCCCGACAGGGTCCCAGTGAGTCATCACATCATCAATACAATGTTTTTTTAATTTTTTACGGTCGATGATTCGGGGCGAAGTCGACTTTTTTCCGGATTTTTGGGACATTCTGGGGAAAATTGTAAAAAAAAATCGTGAGTTGGGAGTTTTCACTTGTCGATGACGACAGAAATGGACTCCAAGGACTCGTCAGCGTCATCAAATCTTTTTTTCTCTATTCTTCTTCGATTTTTGATGATTCATCGATGATTTTTGAAGTTCTTGAGACTTTTGTTTTCTTTTTTTTTAGTTTTTGGGGTCGATAGGGGCTTGGGGCCTCGGTGGGGGCGGAGTGGAGGAGGGGGGGTTCTACGTCGTACGAGTGAATAAACACAAGGTGAAACGGTCGTGTTTACGCGTTTCGTCATGTCAATAGGAGAAATAAAGGAATTTTTAGGATTCAGAAGAGATTGTTTTTGAGGGGGTCGCGGCGAGGGAGCTATCAGTGAGGAGGGGGCTGGAGTCGTTGAGATTGTTGTGATGACGATGTTGATGATGTTTGTGATAACATTCTTCCGTCAGGAATGGAAATTCAGATGAAAGAATGGAAATTCTGATCGGAGATGCAGAAAATCAGTCGATTTGTCAAATGTATTCTGTTTGATGTAGAATTATGTTGAGAAGGAGTGGGTTTAGGGGAAAATGTGATACGACATTTTTTGTGGGGAATTTCAAGAGCTAAAAAAAAGGTTTTATGATTTTTTTCGCTAGAATCAACGGTTCTCGTGATAAACGGGGAATTGATAAGAATACAAATTAGGAATTGGGGTTTTCTTCAACATTATGGGTTTCCCTTCCAATTTTCTTTATTTGTGATTGAAAAATTGTAAAAAATCATCAACGAATATTACATTCTTCATCATAATTTTTTTAAAAATTTTTTTGTGTTAATATGAATGAAATTCTTTAATTATTCTCATTTCTTGGTTTCACAATTTAATTTAATTTTTCTTGTACAAGAAATATGATAAAAAATTATTGAAAAAAAGGGGAATATAAATTTTTTATTGACTATTTGATCAGGTGATCGTCGAGAAAGCGCCAAAGGCCAAGATCAGTGACTTGGACAAGCAGAAGTACCTAGTCCCCTCTGATCTTACGGTAGGTCAGTTCTACTTCTTGATTCGTAAACGCATACATCTACGTCCCGAAGATGCGCTCTTCTTCTTCGTAAACAACATCATTCCACCCACAAGTGCCACCATGGGCTCGCTCTACCAGGTAAAATCAATGTCCTCTAGTTATTTTCAATGAGGTGGGGAATTTTGGCATTTTTCCATCGTCTCGGTATGTGGAGTAAGGTTTTTATCAATACTACAACTATTCAATGCTCAACATTACTTTTTTGCAATTCATGATTGAAATTTAATTAATGAGGGTTAATTGCGAAATTGATAGATTATCAATGATATTATGTTCACATAATTGCATTTACATTTAACTTACTTGCTCAATCAATCTATGAAAAATGAAATTTTCTATCTATCGAAATTATCTAACGAAAAAGGTTTAAAAACCATGAAAAATCGTTGAAATGATTAAATCCAGTTGACATTTTTTTTGTTAATTCATGATTGAAATTTAATTAATGAGGGTTCATTAGTAAATTGATGAAATATTACATTTATAATTACATTTACATTTAGCTTAATTGATCGATCAATCTATGAAGAATTAAATTTTCTCAATTATCTATGGAAATTATCTAAAGAAAGTGGTTTTAAAATTTACGAAGAATTTTTATGTTTGGTTCGGAATTCATTGGAAATGTACGCACAGACCGAATTAATTTTTTTTATCAATACCATAAATACTATTCGATGCTCCCAGGACATTCGTCAAACCGATTACATCCACTTACCATTTTTTTTTGTCAATTCATAATTCCATTAATGAGGATTCTTTAATAAACTCATGAAATATTCCATTTATAATTACAGTTACATTTGGCTTAATTGATCAATCAATCTATGAAGAATTAAATTCTCTCAATTATCTACTGAAATTATCTAACGAAAATGGTTTTAAAATTGCCAAAGAAATTGAATGTTCAGTTTGAAATTCATTAGAAATGACTGACCGAATTAATTTTTTTATCAATACCACTGTGGTGGGAGGTTTTCGTCCTCTTTTAATCAAGTTGCCTTTCGACTTGAAGACTATGCCTAGCTAGTCTCGGTACGAGCTCACGGGGAGTTCGCTCATTTGGGGAAGTTCAGGAAAGGCTTGATAAGGGTGTGGTCCCAATAACCAAACACCGATTATTAAATGGATCAATATAATAAACTGAAGCTAATAATTCAATATAAAATCAGAGTAATAATGGGTTCGGTATCGCGCGCGGTGCTAAGATTTTTGGCGAGGAGTGGACATCCGTTCAAGTCCAACTCCTCCCGTACTCTGCCTTGATTCAGAGCTTGAATATCGTTACTAGCTCGAAATGCTTAATAAGCATTCTCACGGTTTTTCATAACCAACACAGCCATATGTCATCACTGACAATGGCTACAACAGTTAAACAGCTCCATTCTAAGAAGCTGGACTCAAGTGTCACCGTGGGACTGCTTATTCAGCCCAGACAGTTTGCCTCATTTTCATCAGAAAATATAAATTGAACAAAATCGACGTGTGCATGTCTCCACACGTTACACTACAAACATTCAATGGTCTCAGGACATTCGTCAAACTGATTACATCCACTCAACATTTTTTGTTGTTAATTTATCATTGAAATTCCATTAACGAGGATTCTTTAATAAACTCATGCAATATTCCATTTATAATTACATTTACATTTGGCTTAATTGATCAATCAATCTATGAGAAATTAAATTCTCTCAAATATCTATCGAAATTATCTAACGAAAATGGTTTTAAAATTGACGAAGAATTTTTATGTTCAGTTCGAAATTCACTAGAAATGTACTAACCGACCGAATTAATTTTTTTATCAATACCTCAAATATTCAATGGTCTCAGGACATTCGTCGAAATGATTTCAGTTACTCAACATTTTTTTTGTCACTTCATGATTGAAATTCAATTAATTAAGATTAATTGAAGATTAATTGATAAATTGGTAAAATATTACATTTATAGTTACATTTACATTTAGCTTAATTGATCAATCAATCTATGAGGAATTAAATTCTCTCAATTATCTACCGAAATTATCTAACGAAAATGGTTTTAAAATTGATGAAGAATTGTTATGTTCGGTTCGGAATTAATTAAAAACGTACGAACAGACCGATTTAATTTTTTTTATCGATACCATAAATATTCGATACTCCCAGGACATTCGTCAAACCGATTACATCCACTCATCATTTTTTTTTGTTAATTTATCATTGAAATTCCATTAATGAGGATTATCTGATAAACTGATGAAATGTTACATTTATAATTACTAAATTTAATTACTATTAAATTGATAAAGTATTACATTTATAATTACACTTACATTTAGCTTAATTAATCAATCAATCTATGAGGAATTAAGTTCTCTCAATTATCTATCGAAATTATCTAACGAAAATGGTTTTAAAATTGACAAGGAATTTTCGTGTTCAGTTTGAAATTTACTAGAAATGTACAAACAGACCGGATTCATTTTTTTATCAATACCTCAAATATTCAATGGTCTGAGGAAATTCGTCAGAACGATTAAATTCACGCAGCATTTTTTTGTCGCTTCATGATTAAAATTCAACTAATGAAGGTTAATTAATAAATTTATAAAATATTACATTTATAATTACATTTACATTTGGCTTAATTGATCAATCAATCTATGAAGAATTAAATTTTCTCAATTATCTATCGAAATTATCTAACGAAAAGGGTTTAAAAAATTAAGAATGGCACCTCAACAAATTTCATTATTTTTTAAATTACAAAAAAAAATTCTGAATTAATAAAAAAAGTTATTCTCTCCAGGAACACCACGAGGAGGATTGTTTCCTCTACATAGCGTACAGCGATGAGAACGTGTATGGCCACTAGATTCCCAGCTATCCATTATGACGCACCATATCCCCACAAATGGAAAAAAAAATCCACCAAAAAAGGTTTCAGAAAATAATCTAGAATCTGTAAATTTCCAAGAATGAGTGACGAAACTAAAAATGGAAAAAATCGTAGTCTCTGTAGCATCAGAAGCTTCATGAACATTTCAAAACCCCCCAGAGTTAAATTATCCATTCACCAATTTTTATTGATAATAAAAAATTGTTTTTTACTCTTTTCGATCATCTCTTGGTCCCAAAATCTAGTCTCTATTCATCAGCATCGATAATTATTCCAATTATCACACGAGATTGCTCTTCTGTCACTCATTAAATTCTGTTGACAAGTATTTTTCCTCAATAAATAATTAAATAAATAGAGGAATCAATTAATTGATTAATTAATTGTTCAACTAATAACAGTAATTTATTTTTATTAAATTCCATTCAATCGCGAGAAAAAATTATCAATATCTCTCGTAATTCAGAATTGATTACAAATTATTCATTGATTGAATGATTTAGTTTAAATTAATTAGAGAATTGAATCACTTCGCTGTCGAAAGATGAAGGAAAAATCATGAAAATAATTTAATGAAATGAATAAATCAAGATTTCTACGGATTAATAAAAGAGAAATGAGTAGAATCCATCGGAATATGTGGGTGCAGTCGTCCAGGGATAAAAAAATTTTGAAAATGAAAAAAAAAAAGATGAAAAAGATAATTAATAAAAACAAAAAATGAATAAAAAGTGGCGTGATAAATTTTTATTTCACTATTAGGCTAGTGTTGCTACTTGTATTTTCAATGAATATAATGTTATCATTTAGTTAATAAAAAAAATGGCGATTATTTGATTGATAATTTGATTAAAGTTCGTGAGTTTTTCTTGCGAAGTAAAATTCACGCGATTGGTGATTTCAATAATCATGAGGGGATGGAAAGGAGAATTTTGTTACATAACATTTATGATGATTTATGATGAATTGTATTAATCCAGTGGAGTTTTGATTGTGTGATAAAATCCAATTAATCGATGTAAACGCCAATAAAATGACAAAAAAAGGATAAAGAGGAGAAAAAATAGATGGTCTCGTGATTTCCTAGGGGTAATTTTCTCCTCAGGTATTCCCTTTCTGCTTCCCACGTTGTTTCCTTGAATAATTTAAATGTTTTCGTTCAATTTTGCGCTTGTTTCTCTTGGTGAGGGTGCAGGAGAGCTTGAAATTGTCCTCAACCGCAGTTTATGTGTGAATTTCGGCGGGAAAGACCAGATTTTCAATGCTTTTTGGAAATTTTGAGGATGTTTTCTATGCAAAAACAATTTGACGACCTCTCAAGGTAGAGAATTCTGCGAGATAACGATGAAAAACAAAATCTAAAAAATTAGAAATTTCGATTTTTTATCTTCATCAAGAAAACGTACACTAATTCGCGAATTTCCTTCATGAACCCTTAGTTTTTATCAACTCCCATCATAATTGAGAATATTTCCGATGCAAAAACAATTTGACGACCCCTGAATTCCAAAAACTTCGCCAGAAATTCCGAAAAAACAAAATCGATAAACTTGAAGATTTCAATTTTTCCATCCTTCTAACGACTATCTACACCAATTTCAAAATTTCCTATCTCAACCCTTAATTTTCATCATCTCCCTTAATAATTGATAAAATCTCCGATCTAAAAACAATTTGACGACCCCTAAAATCCAAAAACTTCGCCAGAAATCCCGAAAAGAGAAAATCGAAAAACTAAAAAAAATGGAGATTTCAATTTGGAATGTGACCAATAACACCAATCCCTTCATTCCGTCATCGCTCGCAATAACAATGGAGGACAGTAGCTGGATAGTCTCGAGTTCCTTCATAATTTTCACGATGCAGACAGGTTTCGGAATGTTGGAGTCAGGTTGCGTCTCCCTGAAGAACGAGGTCAACATCATGATGAAGAATGTCGTAGACATATCGTTGGGAGGCTTAACGTACTGGGCGTTCGGTTACGGGATGAGTTTCGGGGTGGATGCCCCGACGAATCCGTTCATAGGCACCAGTGGATACCTCCTAGATCCCCAGGTGTCGGATGAACTCATGGGACAGATGTGCGCGGCATTCCTGTTTCAGTTGAGTTTCGCGACCACCGCGACAACCATCGTCAGTGGAGCCATGGCCGAGCGATGTAATTTCAAGGCGTACTGTATTTTTTCGTTCCTGAATACTGTCGTGTACTGTGTGCCCGCCGGGTGGGTCTGGGGGGACCACGGGTTCCTGAATCACTGGGGAGCTGTTGACATCGCTGGATCAGGTGAGAATCCATTAACTAGGCTGAGGATATATTAACATTTCCGATGTAGAAACGAAATGTGACATTTTTTGGAACCTACGACCTGAATTTAAGCCGCGACCTGATTTTAATCCACAACCTGGATTTAAGTCGCAATCTAAATTTGAACCCAAACCCGAGTGTAAGACTACCTATTTTTGGCTTGGACCTAAATTTAAAGCGCGACTTGAATTAAAGCACCTACCTGAATTTAACGGTTAACCTCAATTCACGTATTTACATAGCTTTAATTGCCGACCTGAATTTAAAGCACAACCAAAATCCGACTCCAAACCTGAATTTAAGTCCTACCTTAATTTATGCCACAACCGGAATGTTAGCCTAAACCTGAGTATTACACTCAACCTCATCTTGAGCTTTGACCTAAATTTAAAGTGTGACCTGATTCTACCTAAGTCTACCTAAATTTAACTTCTGACGTGAATTCACGTCTCCACCTAGATTATTTAATCGTTCACCTGAATTTATGTCACAACTGAAATTAGATTCCACACCTAAATTACAACCTCTACCCTGAATTTGAGTCACAATCTACATCCGAGTACAGTAGACTCCCGTTAGAGTCACACTCAAGGGGCTATTGGGGAAGTGAATTCGGGGAATGCGACTATTCGTCTTCCACCACCACGCGCTTACTCCGGGCGTCATTTCTCAGAATCAACATTGATAAAATAAAAAAATACTGAATTTTTCTTTTTAGTTTATTGATGAAAAAATGAAAATATAATAACAATTATCATATTATAATGAGCAATAAAAACAAAAATTAATTAGTTATTATTAATAATTAATTGTTGTCATGTGGATGCATTTTTCAATTCATTAAAATTTTTACTCGATCAACTAACTAATCAAATTTTAACTTATTTTACCACAATAAAAGTGTAATCTCTCTCCGTGACGATCAGGAGCAGACTAAATGTCTACCCATCGTAAATTCATATTTTCAGTATTTTATTTTGCAAATTTCCGAGAATTCAAAAACAATGACTCCTCCAGGAAAAACAGGGGCATTCATTTAAAGGCTTTCGTAGGTACAGTAGAGTCTCCCTATTATTCTTACTCCCTATGATTTTAGTTGGGGAAGTTGCCTTCCCCCACCACTGAGTCCGTTCACGTGCAATGGTAAGTGCGTGTGGCCCGCTGGGATGGGAGACAAAATTCCAAAGGGCCAAAATCCAAACCGGAAATGAGGGAGGGGGAATGCTGAAGTAAGAAGAGGTGCCATCTAATGATCGGAGTGAAATATAGTATCGCCTTATTCCTGCAGATGGCGGATGGAATATTAAAAGTATGTTGAAATCAAAGATTTTCTTCGTTTTGAAGCCGTCGAAAATCACGACACGATGAGAATACTACCGTATTTTTTTTTTTTCAAAGGAAATATTGATCGAAGAGCAAATTCATTACAACAATAATATTTCGTGGCTATCGAACGCAATCGGAACAATTTTCATTAAAAAGAAATGTTTTGCAACAGCAGCAAGAGTTTATCGGGCGAGAACGGCTACAATTGTTTTCTTTGAAAATAATAGATTTTCAACAAATTTTTGACAACATTTATACATGCAGTCTACCGGGTGGAACCGGTACTTTTTTCCCGAGGGAATATTATTTTTCCAACAATCTTTGACAACAATAATATACGCAATCTACCGGGCGAAACCGGTACAGTTTTATTTTAGAAAGATATCTTTTTTTTGCATCGAAAGCTTCCATAAAAATGTAAGCCACAGTCTACCGGGTGAAACCGGTACGGTGTTCTGCCAAGGAAACCATAAATTTTCAACAACAATAATATAGACAGTTTACCGGGCGGAACCGGTACAGTTTTATTTTTAAAAAATATATTTTTTTTTGCAACAAATGCTATCATAAGAATGAAACCAACAATCTACCGGGTGGAACCGGTACGGTTTTCTGCCAAGGAAACTATAAATTTTCAACAACAATAATATAGACAGTCTACCGGGTGGAACCGGTACAGTTTTCTGTCAAGGAAACCATAAGTTTTCAACAACAATGATATAGTCAGTCTACCGGACGTGACCGGCACGGTTTTATTTTAGAAAAATAGTTTTTTTTTTGCAAACAAATGCTTTCATGCACGGAGAAAAAAATACATCGTAATTTTGTGAGAATCCTTCCAAAAATTAGTGTGCTGTTCACCAACGCTGGGACATAACAGGGAGTCATCGGAGAATTCGCATGTGGCACACTAATTTTTACGGGAATCCCCCGAAAAAGTGGCCGGAGTCCCACCAAAAATTAGGGTGCTACTTATGAATTTTTCGACGACTCCATGTTATGTCCCGGCGTTGGGGGACAGCACACTAATTTTTGGGAGATTTTTTTCTCAGTGTGTAAATGAAAGCCACAGTCTACCGGGTGAAACCGGTACAATTTTCTGCTGGGAAACATTATTTTTTCTAAAAAATTTCAACAACAATAATATAGGCAGTCTATCGGGCAGAACCGGTACGGTTTTATTATAAAAAAAATCTTTTTTTGCAACAAATGCTTTCATAAGAATGAAAGCCACAGTCTACCGAGTGAAACCGGTATGGTTTTCTGCCATAAGAACCCTAAATTTTTAACAACCATAATATACAGACATATACCCGACTGCCCGATAGACTGTGTACCGGGCGGAACCCGTACAGTTTTATTTTTTTTTAATATTTTTTTTCTTGCAACAAATGCTGTCATAATAATGAAATCAATAGTCTATCGGGTGGAACCGGTACGGTTTTCTGCCAAGGAAACCATAAATTTTCAACAACAATAATATAGATAGTCTACCGCGCGGAACCGGTACAGTTTTTTTTTAAAGATATATTTTTTTTGCAACAAATACTTTCATAAAAATGAAAGCCACAGTCTACCGGGTGGAACCGGTACCGTTTAATTTTAAAAAAAAATCTTTTTTTGCAGCAAATGCTGTCATAAGAATAAAACCACTGTCTACCGGGTGGAACCGGTGCAATTTAACCTGAAAAGGTTATTATTTTGTAAATGAATTTATGCTAAAAATAACATCCGCAGTCCACTGGACGAGAACCGGTCCGGATTTTCCTTTGAAAAACAAACTTTTTATTGCAATAAATGCCCCACTAAAGATATAAACCAGAGTCCATCGAGTGATACCGGTGCAATTTTTCGGACGGAAATACTTTTCCAAAAAAAATTTAACAATATTATAGGCTGTCTACCGGGCGGGGACGGTACAGTTTTGTCTTGAAATAATATTGTTTTTGCAACAAATATCATGGTCCTGCAGATATATGGGGCATTCCATGTCAACTCGTGAGGTTTTAAACCTCATGGTGGTTTATGGTTTAAAGGTTTTAAACCTCAACTTCGAACGCAAGTTCTGGGTTCTGGTGATGAGTTACATGGAAAATTGTAGGGACAAAAAATGTGTTTTTGGATGAAGGAATGGAAAAAAAACGATTTTTTAATTCCATGTTATTTGGACATTTTTAGAGCATAAAAACCGTAATTTTGATAATATGAACTACAGATTAAGTAAATCATCCAGTGAACTGATTTAAAAAAATTATAACAGTGTTGGCACGCATTTTTACCAGAGTGTCAACGAACATTGAATTCCAGACACTTACTCAGTGAGTTATGGTCGAGAAGGAATTGGGTTTGACTTATGATGATTGAAATATTATTCAGTGAGGCGAGCATAGCAATTAGCACATGAGCAAGTCATTTAATGCAATATGCAAAATTAAGAGCTGATAGATTGGGTAATATTATTTTTAGTAGTCGCATTGCTTTTTGCAATGAGAATTATTATGAACAATTACTTGAAAAAACAAATATTGAAATTGACAGGAAAAAGGGCATAATAAAAAGGGCCTCAACAAGCGGCCGGGGTGGCGCTAGTTTTAAAAAAGACGAAGGCAATAAAATAGAAAAATATTTCATCGTTGACGGCAGAAATTTTGCATAAATACCTCTAGATATTAACGATTGAAGTCCAATACGTCACCAACGTTGGAAGTTTACAGGAATAATGCCCTACGTTTTTCTTGGTTTGGCACACTTAGGGATTTTATTTAAACTAATTGCTGTGAAGAAACGCCGAGAGTAATGGCTGCTTTGCACTTCGGAACTTTGCCTATTTCGTCTCCCTTGGGTAAATAGCAATAATGGAGAATGGCAGTTGTAAAATTTATATTTTGCCGGCGCTTTGGCGGAAGCCCTAAAGTTGGATAACTACTAGTAGTCCAGTATGTACGCTGGCTACGTGTGCAATACTCCATCTGGTCTACAAATTCCCACATGAAATCCATTATTCCAAGACCAATCCCAGTTTAGTATTTGAAATCCACAATTATCTTGGCTTGCAATTGGTTGGAAACTAATGATGAACAACGCCATCCACATTTCATCATGAGTGGAGCTGATTCACCACATGATGGTTCTCTTAAAACTACATAAATGTTGGCATTCTAGGGGTAAACGAGGAAATCCCGGCAATGAATGATCGAGCGAATTTTGGGAAAGCGGCGTCAGTTTTTTCCATTTATTCACGAAGCCAACTTATAGAGTAACTTAAATAGACCTTTCAATTTTTAAAATTTTAATACGCCTCCGATTTGTCTTGCTTTCGGTTTTTTAAATCAAAGTTTTTAGTGCAAAAAAGCTTTAGTATCTCATTCGTTCTATGCTGTTAATACCGTGGAAACATGTCTACCGTGTATATTATTCCTCCAGAAAGTGAAGATGAAGAGGAATTGCATGAGGAAAATGAAGAGAACAGTTCAAAAAAAAAGTGCAAGAAGCATTCCCACAATAGGTATATCGTGGAAACAAATCGCTACAATTGGCATGCAACAAATAAAGATGGAAGAGAGTAAGTTTCATTTTTCGATTTTCGTGTTGCCTCCGGACGAGACGATAAGAATATTGATACTCGTGTTTTAATATTGTTGGTATAATTTTTT